TAAGGCTCCCTCCAGCAGCACATCGCCATTTCACTGTATTCTGAGTGATCCTTTCCAGTTAGCTCCGGAATTTCTTGATAGCTTCCATTTTCTCCACACCTGATCGCCTCAGTGTCATCTTCATAACAATGCTTAACTCGTCAACATTGTATTCGAGTCCCATTCAGAGGCTTGACTGGCGTGTAATGCCACTCATTGGTCTCCCTAGTATGTGTGTCCAGTACATGACCATGGCGATTCCGCATATATTTTGTCGTTAGATTCTTATTGTGTATTATTTCTGATCAGCCATCCAGTTTTCATTAACGAGCCAGAAAACGAAGCTGTTAGTGTAAGTCAGCAATAACCAGCTGGAAACTGTTACGACCGGAACTAAGACCAAGTAGACTATGAGCGAATACTAACTTAATGAACTGGTTAATCTATTATAATCGCACGTCAACAACAACTAAAATAACACCACCGGCACGCAGAGACGAAAGAGGAGACTGGACCTCGAAATGAAACCTTTTACTTCCTCAAACAACAGTCAAGACGCTGGAAAGAAACTCTGTAAATATACAACTAGAATGACCTTGACAATGCAGTAATACAGTGAGGCATTGAATGCATTAACAACCAATAGGAAACCAGCAATCCAAACAGAGGGAAAAAGCAAAGTGCTCACGCCAGTTCGCCATAGCTCCTTAAAGTAGTTATTTTAAAATTTTAGGCAAAATTAAGCAAAACCAGGTGGAAATAACAGAAATGCTTCTGTTGACAGTTGTGAGAAGTATCTGAGCCACATACAGACGCTTAATTGACACTACCTTCTGAAATCAGAATTTTGTTCATTATGGTGAGCACAGATCTCCATAATGATTTTAGAATAGTGAAGGTATCTCCTGCCTTTGCAATCCTGTTTTTGACATTCTCATCCATGCCGACAACTGTAGTTTAAACGATGATGTCCAGTAAGGTAAGCGAAAGAATTGGCTTTCTTTCGATTTCCCCAGTGGATGATGATTGCTGCTTGTTATTGTTAGTTAGGTAATTTGGTCACCACCGTCCTCTGTATGTTCACCTGAGGACACCTCTCCACTTCTTCTCCTGTTAGCTTGTCGGTTTTTGTTTTTACATTTTGAGTGTCTGAATCACGAGAAGTCAAGATCTCCTAGAGTCTTCCAGTCAGTTCAACTTCTCACTGCCTGCGATATCTTGTATAATCCAGTCGATCATATATAGGAATATCATCGGTGAGTGTAAGCTGCTTCGTTTTACTCCTGAGACCAAAATTTTCGTCTTGAAATAAATTTCTTCACGAAATTATTTTTAGTATATTGAGGACCAGGTTCAGTGAATACATCTGCACGACATTCTATCTAAAATAAATGAAATATTTTTGAAAAAAATCTTTCAGAGGTTGTATACGGTCAGTCACGCTTTGATACTTCTCAGAACTCAGGGAAGCTTGTGCCCAGTTCGTTGGATTTATGTTTAAGTAAACTTGAAACAAGTGAAATTCCTTTGTTTCAGGTTTTATATTGCAAGAAGATTCGACCTATGACTGAAGAAACATAAGACTGGCTAAAATCTAAACTAATCGGTTTTGTTAATTCCACATATTATAACTGACTGCAGAATTTAAAGTTCCATCTAAAGAACATCAAGGGGAGATAATAAATCTGATAACAAGTCCCCAATGGTATTTGTAGAGAACAGAATTGTTTACGTACGTAAATTGAAATCAATTCTAAACGACTCATTATGATTCTTAACTGACAGTGTGAACAATGATATGATCAAGGCGTCGGAGAAACAAGATGCAAGGGAACTAGGTCAAGCTCTGCGGAAACTAGCAGACAATTCAACCTATAATGAACCAAGACATTGTGGCTCTTTTCCATAGGATTTATGATGCATAAACCACATATCCCAATGTTTATGGCGAACCCGCCATTTCATAGACTCTTTCGCTGGTGAAAAGTTGGTAATAGAGAGTTTGAAAGATGGTTTCTAACTCGCTCACAAGTTCGAAAATATAAACATGCCCCAAAAAATTCACAGTTTCACTCAACATGTCTTCATTGTTTACAAATATCGCTTGGAAATAGATTTTAGAGAATGTGTGTTAACATTCTCACTCACTTTCCCACTGTATTCAACTTCCTTTTGAATCATTTGCACCAAGGAGGTACAGTTCAAGTCCAGAAACTCTGATTAAGTTGGAGTGGTTAGTCCGTAAAGTGTTATCGCTCTGACGAACGAAGACATTTATGAGTCATAGTTGCTTCTAACGGGATACCCTACTTTGACCTAGATTAGACGTTTCATCACTGGGTTTTGTTGACACATGCTATCCATTCAGGACACTTTTCACATCATTAAACTTATAATTTATCACTCTCATGATATAAGTATACAATTTGCCATAATTTCTGGCCATTTTGCCTCTTCCCTGGGGCAATGGATTACTGCCTTCGAAGTCTATCTTTTCGCGTTTTTAAAGTGTTGGAATAGCAGTTGAATAATCAGCTGCATATTGTTTTGTGTTGAAGTATTGCTAGAACAAATTCAAATCCAGTACTACTGTGGACACAAAAGTCATTTCAGAGGAATGTTTTCATGGATGCTTTTAGTATAAGTGTTTGAAACATGTAACAGGCGGAGTAAAATTCTATCAGAATTAGGTTCACGATATATCCATAATATTTGGTATGAGTGATAATATTAAGCTCAATTATCATCTTCTTAGTATATTTATCTAGGCATATATCCTTGTATAAAACTCTCCAATGAGTAGGAGAGGAATGAGAAGCTTTATCTTTTGAGTCTTGGAATTCTTTCAGATACCGATGGAAATACTCAAAGATATATCCATTCTAAACGTCTTGTCATGGATAATATCTGAAATTTAACAGTTTTTATTTGACAGGCTACAATAAAGATCTAATTGTCTGCAAGGCGGTGAGCACCCTCAGAAGCGTTCTCGACAGATACAAAGGAACACGAAAGAAGAACAGATGAGTAGGAAATAATCCCAAAACGTCGGGCACTATAGTGATGAAGCGTGTGGAAAAATCAGATATGGAATAAATACTGCACTCAATAGGACCTATTCAGTTGTCATGTTAGCTGCAATTTACACAGTAAGTTCGTCACCCAGACAATCCAAGGTTAGTAACTTGCCCTCAAAGTTTACTTTCATGTGTGCATACGGACTTCCAACCACGTACCAAAGCATAGATGTCAGGAGAACAGAAAGAATTATTTACGACGGTATGTGAAGAACCATGCGGATTTCTCATTACATGACAGATATTAGCCATGAAAGCGATGTTCCAAAGTAGAAAATTTATTCATTCAGGGGCAGAATTTCGGCACTGTGGTAGAATATCATTCCAGGAAAGCTGAAAATCTTAAAAGTAGAGTGTGTATAGAATAGATGCTGTAGCTCAGTCGTGTATTGAACGTGTAGTGATATATTAGGTCATGTCTGTTCGCATTGTGTTTCGGTGAAGAAAATCAACAATCTTTCGAAAGTAAAAAATATCGTTTCAGCAATTTTACATACCATTTTGAATTTTATTCCCGGTTGTTATCTACTGCAAAGGTTCATTTTGACTGAACAAAGTTTCCTTCATTTTTTAGTTTTTAATTCCATTTTTATTTTCTTGTTGATTGATTGGAACAAAATTTTTGGCCGCCGGTGAACATGTCTACTCCAAGTGCGCACGCTTCAACAATGTTAGAGGATTAACTTTCAGTAATTTGTTGGAAAACACAGGTGCATCCAGGTGATGAATCCCACATAGGATGAAATGCGCATTCCGAATTTCACTGCTAGTCAAAATCCATCAAATTACTTAAAATTCCCATTACTTTCCAGAAATTCCATGATGTAACTAAATCACTTCCATCCTCAGTGACTGACGTTTAGACACTTGTCGTCCCCTAAGTTTGCATAGTTCTACATACAAAACAGTGAAATAGGTGGATAACGAAAGAAACTTAAAGTTTTACTGGGAAAATATGATTAGTCCATTTCTTGGATCAGAGGCGGTATAAGGAACTTAAAACAAAGAGCTTCGGCAATGCCTAGGGATAACGGTGAAGTCATCTTGTCTGGTGGTTCTACCTAAATATGTGTCCCCAAAAGTTAAGGTGAAATTGTAGATACAGTATGAAGCAGTGTCCATTGAATTTCATCCTTTTATCATAGTCAAAGGAAATGAAAATGTTCGAGATGTAAGCAAAAGGGACGTAGTGTAGAATATGCAATTAGATAGAGCATTTCGGTAAAACATAAGCATTCACAGAAGAAACGCAGACGTAATCCCAAAACAAATAATAACTCTTACACATTGCTCAAGAGATGCCTCTCATAACCCTCGGAGTCTAGTGGTTAACACTTTGGCGTTTGAAAAGATGGGTGCAGAATTCGAGTGTCAGATGGAACGTCACTCACTGAGTATGCGAGCAAATGAAGCTGAAGAGTTCTTGATGGGACAATTACCCTATTAGTCAACAACAGGCAAAAGTTACTTAGATTCTAGTTGCCAACAATCTACTAACCTTATAGATACAAATTCTTTATGAGATCTAACTAAAATGAACATAGATCAAGTAGTACCTGAGGTCAACTACTATGAAGTGCATCTGACTATACAGTAAGATCAAGAATATGCAAAGTACACACTATGAGATGAAGTTTTATGGTGCTATTCTGTGAAAATTAATTGTATTTATAAGTGAATGTATACGTAATTGGCTTCAATACGATTTTTGACTTTAATTGAGATGAACAGTTGCAGACTGCTACTGCTACCACTAACCAAAAGCAATTAAACTGAATCAGAAGACCGTTTTGTCAGTTTCCACGTAATTCAGAAGATCTGATCCTTTCTGAGCCAAGTCATTCTTTTCAAATATCACTGATGATCTCAAAATTCAGCTAGAGCAATCATCTGAAATATTTCAAATTAAAACAATTTATATGAATAAAAGAAATGACATGCTTTTTAAAAAACGTTGAATAATAATAGTTGTAATATATAAAAACTATTTTTATAGGATCGGTAAGTAAACAAGAAAAAACTGTAACTCAACAGTAGTATTTCAGTAGTATGCATTGTTGTAAAAGAATTCAATATATTACTAATAAATACACTTAAAATTCTGTTATGTAACTGTACAAACGTTTAGAGATTTAATTATTAGCATATACATAAGCAGAAACTTAAAAATACAATGAAAATTGTATATTTACACTTTGACTTTCATCATTCCTTCATTTACTTCATTACTTTCTGTTGTTCAATGTAAATTTAAATAGCTTATCAAGGTCACTGAATCAATGTTCATTAGTTAATATATATATGTTATACAAACTGACGCGTTGATTCAATGTCCAGTGATTCATTGAACATTTAACATTGAACCCATTGAACTAATGGCTGTTTAGATTGATATTTTATTTACAAATGAATAATGCTTCATAACAAATCTCTCATTTTGTTTAAATTATTTAATGATAATAATAATAATAGTAATGGTCGCGGCTTAACTGATTGTTCCACCATTTGTTTCTATAAAATCTATACTATTTGTTCTTTCTTCCAGTGGTGCGATATAAGTTTCAGGAACTGAACTTCTTGTAGATGAAATACTCAATCGAGCATATTTACTTTTTATAAGACTTTTAAATTTATTTTCCATCAATAATAATGTTGCCCATAATGAAACACCAGAACCGACAGCCATTAACGCTGATTGTAATATGATATAATCTTTAATTGAAGAGAATAACAGTCGACATGGTAGATTATTATATGTAGCTGTACATTTACCATGTATAGTAAAACACTGGCAAGTATTTTTTACAATTTCATAACAACATGGTTCAATGAAATTGAGAACATTTGAAGAATTATTTGGTTTTGTTGTTGTTGGTTGTGGTGGTGATGTTGAATGTGTAGAATGGACTGTAGTCTGTTGACTGAAATGAGCTTCGTGTTGTCGCTGTTGCTGAATGGAGATCGCTCTACAGGTGTTATCATAAGAAGCAATTAAACTACCCTTCTGTCCTGCGTATATACTTGTTACAAGGCATATAATAAAGCAAACGAAGGAAAGAACACCAGATACAACCTGAAGAAAAAAGTATATTTATAGAGGGAGAAAAAACAGAAACATGGTGAGCGTGAAAACATTTATATGTAAAATTAAAAGTTAATTAAAATCACAGTTATGTACCTCCAAATTTGCCTTAAAATTTGAAGAAATTGTAACAGTTTGTTTAAAGATGACTAGGCAAACCGACATCACAATTCATTAGTACCAACAAGAGTTTCAAATATAAAATATTTGACTGGAAAACAAAAATACTGACTTGAAAATGAATGTTAATTTTTTTTCATTATAGCTTGAAACCACACAGTATTTTTGGTACAAGTATGTAATTTTCAGCATGTGATATCTGTAGCCCAAATTTTGCAGACCGACCACTGATATCAGGTGTGCGTCGGCAAGGGATCGAACCTCGGACCATGTGCATGGTCGGCGAGAGTCTCAACCGCTGTACCACCGATGTGGTCTTCAATAATGAGGGACATCTGGCTCCGATTCTTAACCGAAGCACTAAAAAACCTCATATAGCTAGTTTTAAAGCAGCCAAAGATGAATGCTTTAGCGTAACGGAAACTAAAAATCTCAAACCTGATGCCTTATATCCCACCGCAGATGGGAAGGAATGAGGGATAAAATGAACGCCTGCTGAAACCGATATTCAAATATGTCAAGTAATATATATATTTTTAGCAGACTGCTGCAAATTTTATGTAAATTGTGAAAAGAGGTTAGAATCGACTACAAGTTCACTTGAAGTAAACACATTTACTTTCATCGTTTGAGAGTTGTCAGAGGTGTCTCGGAAGTTCTCATAAGGATTTAGCATAATATCATTTTATTAGATGGTTGGAGGCAATCGGCCACAAAAAGCCTTCGACCTAAGTTTCGTAGTAGTTGGCACTCACCAGTCAGCAAGGCGTATCTGCAGCCTTGAACGAACTCATGTCCCTTCTGAGATTCGAACCCGCGTCAGCCAGGTGCTGCAATCAGAGCCGTTACTACTGAGCTATGCCGACTCACAATTGACCTCCTGTAGGACTGTAATGGGTCGTTTGACTGGACACTAGTAACTAATGCGATGTATCTAGTTGTTTCTTCGGTGCAGACTGAATTGTAACAGTTAGGTGCGCAATGTGGCCACCATTCTAATGTCATTTTATAGGACCAATATGTTCATTTTTACGGGATGAGGTTGACAGCCTTATGCGCAAGCTTCACTCTTAACCAATCTTCTTACTGACTTAGCGAGGTAAAGGAGTGAGTCGATCGGGGATCGAACCCCGGACCACGTGAGACGTGGTTGGCTAGCATTCTACCGCTGCGCCGCCGACGCACGGATACACTGAAATATCACCAGTGAATGAACATTCTCTTAATTTCAGTTTGTAGAAATTGAAAATCATCTGGTCTTCTAGCTGAATGGTAAACTCATGTCTCTGCTGGCTTGATTTCGGCTTCTCGTAGGGCAGTGTATATACTACTGTGGATCCTATAACTGAAATGAAGTCTAAACGGCTCAACTCTTTGGATATCTTGCAACGTATGGTCACCAGCCGACGAAATGAAATCGTTTTCCAATTGATAAAGTCTATGTTAAAACATATTTGATCAATTTTTATTTGGTATTAGAATTATGTGATTCACCAAATTATTTAATTGATGAGCGTTGTATTGTTATAGTATTCACATTGTTTAATATTACAGAAGACATTTAAGTGATGTACTTTCGCAGTTCAGCCTTTCAGCAATTAACCTGCCTATGTACACATATAAAATTGGAGAATTTACTGAGATTCTAGTGACTACAAATCTGCTAAGTCTATATATTACTAGCTGTATTTTATATTACACAGTCTGAAAGACTGTACGTCAAGCAATGATCACTGTTTAAGAAGCACATTTCAAAGTTGAAAGTAGAAGACTTTCAGAGGGTTGATGAATCTAAGCCAGCTTTGTCTTGTCATGAATAGCAGATGTTGAACTGCATAGGTCAATGGTAATTTTTGAAGCTAAAAGAATATTCCACTTATTGCCAGTAGTAATCTGTGAAGTATATCGTGAATCGGCAGAAGTTGGGATTTATGAGCCATTGAATTCCGTTCTGCTGGCTCATTGGCATACAGGTCTTTTTGTGAGCTAAACGTTATGAGTTCGGTTCCTGATGGGGATAACCAGTGCGTTCTGCTGAAAAGTCATTAGGTAGAACGAAGCAGCTGTTCAGTACTCTCAGGTTTTCAGTAGTTCTCTAACTGAAATTGACTACCTGTGTTTACTGAATATAATAGTTCCCAATGTTTACCAAGTTAGATTGAAGTGTGATTCAAACAATTGGGTTCTAAAGTTATATTTGACAACTGTTCTGTGCTTTTAAGTTTCTATGGCAAAGCATCTAAATATAAGACATTCGTCTGTGTGTTGGTTACCAAATAAATATAGTATGGTGAATAATAGCGAGGTTAAGCGTAAGAATGTTAAATCAAGAGGGATAGTAAATCGACGCGCTTTTGAAGCTACATTGATTGAGATGGCTAGAACAAGTGCTACGCACATGAAGCCACCGCCTTCCTTATCGTGCAATACCGGCTGATATAGTCAAATCAAAAAGTGGTATCAATCCGTTAAGTGTTTCACAATCTGTCTGAGCCAACCAACCAATGACTGGGACTATTGTTGATATGGCTCAAAATCGTTCTCAGTGGCGAAAATGCATTCACTCCTTATAATATCCCAAATCCACTAAATACTCATGTTTGCCCACGTTACTATTCTTACTCTGGTACATTTTTTTCCCTTTTCTCTGCTTTTGTGTGCCTTAGGAATCGTTACCAACTTGAATTGCTGCAGTTATTGCAAAGTTCTTTACTGAAACCCAGTCAGTTAGTCTATGGAAGTTTTAAATGTGGATCTTATATGATTGGTAACAAGAGAAATGTAGTTAATTGGCACTGAGTTATATTTTTATTTACTGTTGCATCAAGAAGGGTGTCAGTGCGTCTTTGTCCCAGTGTCCTAATGGTCTAGCAGCTTGCCATGTAACCTGATGGTCCTGGGTTCGAACAGTGACGGGTGAGTACTGCTGAAGCATCCCAAACTGGCACACAACTTTTGTCCAGTACTTCATGTTTAAGTGCGTCGGTGGTTCAGGGGTAAATCACCGGCTAACTACGCAGGTGATCCAGGGTTCAGTCCTCTTCCAGAGGAATGCAATACGTCCGTTAGCCGGTTATAAGCAAAGCAAAGAGGGAAGGTTGGGCATTAGGCTTGAAACTCTCTTCGTAAGCAAACGCCACTATTACTGAAACTCCAAAAGCTCTAGCTTGAAGCTCTTTATTCCATTTGCAACGGCAAGGAATAAAACAGATAAGTGCATAATAGGGAAACCTAAACTGACATGTTAGTGAATAGGAATTTTCGAAACGATGGCTAGCAGTAGGAATCTAGGATTAGTCAGCTAGATGTAATTGCTCCTTAATGAATGATGGCGTTCTTTCTGAAACTAGAACACAGCACCATCATTTAAAACGCCACAACTCCATCTACTACGATATTGGTCTATTACACTATGGATTCTACTGCTACCCACTGTCAAACAAGTACCTCTGATTAATTAAAATTTTATTAGTCATATGTACTATAAGACTAGATAGATGAGTATTGAATGTTATCCAGTCCTGCTTAAGACTGTCCAGCTTACTCGGTTAAGTGACGGATCCCATGAAACTTTTAATAGTCCAGCTTCCCAACGATTACATACCACTGAAGCTTCAAGCGTACATGTCTAAATTATCTTGACACCGCTTTTCTTTTTCATTCCTTTAGGTTCCCAATGGAAAATAAGGCTTCAGGATATAAGCCCTGAAGTTTCACTAGCGTTATTATTTTTTATGGAGTGGGCTGCTAGCACTTACGCCCAACTTTCCCTCTTTACTGGTCAAGTGAGATGTAGGGGTAAGTAGTGTGGAAATCGATTCCTCACCATATGCACTTCTGGCGAGAATTCTACCACTAAACCACAAACACATCATGCTATTGCTAGTGAACACTAATCCGTATACATGATATGTAACTACTTAAAGCGGACATCTAGTAGTATGTGGTGAAAGGTAACCCCCCAAAAGAAGTAAGAGAAGTTTTCCCTCAATGGACATGGAATAAAAACCCATGCAATTAAATTTCACTTCCAACAACGACATGCATAAAAATAAAGAAAAATCATTCGTGTGTAAGATAATTTTAACATTTCAAGAGATGGGGGAAGATAGTTTCAATAAAGGGGCTAAAATTCATACTCAAAATGATTGAAGCGTATTAAATCAACTCAATTTCCTTTTTTCCCTTCAAAAGGCTTAAGGAAGCTGTATCCAGAAGTGAAATTTTAAAAATAAAATGCTGAAATTTCATTTTTTTTTCTGATCTTTTTATTGGACAGATCATAGATATAACTTTATTATCCAAAAATAAATCAGTTACTTGATGTCTTCAGAAGAAACTGATGAATCACTGTAAGTTAAATTTGAAAAAAGACAAGTGTACTCAAACAATGGAGAGTTTTATAAAAATGATTTCCTCTAATTTCATTAGCTGAACAAGGTAATTCAACCATTATGATTTTATTTTAATTTTATATTCAATAAGTTCGTAGAAAATAAGATTAGAAGTGCAATGCAATTAACTATTTCCCTTGATAATCTTAGACCAGATAACAGAAGCCTCTTCATTGTTATTTTTAGAAATCTCGTTGTTATCAAAGTATTGGTAAATTGGAAACTTTTATGGCAACTAACTTAGCTATTATTAGTGATCGAAGATGTACAAATCTAAAAAGAGTTGAGATGGGACTTTATACAGAATTTTAAAGGCTGGATTTTACTGTCACTTCACTTCGGATACCAATATGGAACCTCTTACTGACCTTGATGATGATTCCCATTTCCTAATCACTTTGGGCAATGGTCATAAGGACAACAGTGGGCTTGCCACGTCTTCCTACCCTAGAGTAACTGGCATCATAAGAGTGGTGC